TGCTGAGGTAAAAAATAAAAAATCGTCTCCTTTTCATGAATGGGACCCGCCATAAAATTATTTAATTGAATTTTTAACTTTATATTCGGCTTTATCTTGCCCATTGTACATAAAATACCAGAATTTCAGTTCGTTAACTCATTCCTTTTACAAGCTCAAAAGCCATGACATACGGACAGACAAAATATAAAGAGGCAGCAATAGGGTTCCGTTTTTACCCTTTGAGTACTAAACCCTAAAAACATCATGAGGATGGCTGTTAGAGCTTTTTAAAGTGTAATAGGTACGAATTAGTGCATATTTTTGCACTTGTACAGTAGGTAGGTAGGTATACTATACATTTGCAAGCCTCCAGCTCATCAAATGTTGACACAAAAGTTATGGTGCCTCTATAGCAATTGGATATTTGTTCAGCTCGACAAATACAAATACACCACGTTCAAATCTTGCACAACAGCGCCGGTCCACACAAGTGACGCGTAACATTTTATTGTCATTTCTTTTCAACCGCATGTCGACTTTGGAAACTAGTTCTTAACAAAATTTATAATTTGAACCTATTTAGTTATTCAAATCGAACTAAAAGGTAATTATTTTATTAATAGAAAGCTATAGTGTATCTTTTGCTGTCCGATCGTTTTTTCATCAGTATGTCAGTGGACTTAAATATTTGTGTTTCTATTGTTATAATCAGAAGGAAAATCTTTTGTAGCTATTTAGCATAATAAAAGTTTTTATGGAAAGGGAGTGCAGAAAACTAACATTTATATTTATTAATGCACTAGAAGTACAATTAATAAAATAAACTTTACACATGTACTATCTCACAACGGCCATCGGTTCTTCTTGCTATGTGTCCCGTCCACTGCCACTTCAGCAGAGCAATCGTTCGAGCGATATCGGTTAGTTTGGTTCTCCTACGGATTTACTCATTTCTGATTCTATCGCGTAGGAAAATACCAAGCATCGCTCTCTCCATTGCTCGCTGTGTAACCTTTAGCCTTCTTATGAGACCTGCAGTAAAAAACCTCGTCTTGTAACGTAGGTCATCACTGGCAACACACACAGGTCAAAGACTTTTGTCTTGAGACACTGAGGTAATTTGGACACGAAGATTTTCCGTAGCTTCCCGAACGCTTTCCATCCGAGCTGGATACGACGAGAGATCTCTTTCTCAAAGTTGGGTTGACTGACTGTCCTAGGTAAACGTTATGGTCAACAACTACCGAGTGTAGTGAGTGTTCCCAATTTTAACTGGAGCGGGTACTACATGGCCTTTCGACATAATTTTCGTTTTATCCACGTTCATCTTAGAACCCACTCTCTGAGAAGCACTACTAAGGTCTTCGAGCATCGTGTTAAGATCTTCCAAGGTCTCAGCCAGTAAGAACTACATCATCGGCGAAACGAAGGTGCAAAAGGTAAGGCCTTTATTGTTGATGCATCGTCCTTTCCAATCCATAAGCTTGAAAATATTCTCCAATGCAACTGTAAACAGATTCGGAGACATCACTTATCCCTGTCTTACGTCTCGCTGCACTTGGATAGGATTAGAGCTCAGTCCCTGTAGCATGAGCACTACAATTTACATTAAATCACGTTTTTATCGCGTCTAACTGTCAAATTCCATCGTAAATTGACAATTGAGCGCAATAAAAACGCGTTATATATCATATCGCGATACTCATGCTGGTTGGTCTAGGCAGGCTGGTTCTGTAATCGCATTGACATAGTGGGGTTTTCGTAAAGGTACCTCAATATATCTGTAGTCTACTTGGTACCTTTGGAGAGCCTGAAACTTTTTTGACATTCACAGTGTGTAACTAATGAGAAAATTGCAAATCTATTGATGCTTTTCAGAAAAAGTCATCTTAGTGGCGTTCTAATAAAGCAGTAGTGGATCACTAAATAGCTCAGTGATTATCACTTCCATGTGTCAAAAGAATGTAGCGAATAGGCCTACATATTTCAAACGATTTGTAGGCTTTCTCATAGTCCACAAATGCCAAGCAAAATGGCAGAAGAACCACAAAGAACGAATTTCTGCCAATAAGCAACCATAAATAGGTATTTTATACAAAATAATGAAACTCATATGAAACAAAGCTTCATGTTGATTTCCATACATGAAAGCAAACTTATAATGATACAAAACCATATACTAGTCCAACTTACACTTGACAGATTTTTTTCTCAATAATATACAGCTGTATGCAATAAACTAATTTTATGAACAGTCAGTTCAGTGTCAAGCTGCAAGGGGCAGTAAAATGGCAAATTCGAGAAAGCTTATGCTAGCTAAGCCACTTCACACACCTATAAGTATTTGCTATTTGTATAATACACCTATAAGTATCTAGGAATAACCCTAGACTCCAAACTGAACTGGGGATCCCACATAGACAAAACTACAACGAAGACTAACATCATTTTCTGGCAATGTCGCAAAATGATTAGCAAAACTTGGGGACTATCACCGCTCATTGTTAAGTGGCTATACACGACCATAATTAGGCCCATCATCAGCTATGCAGCAGTAGTATGGTGGACCAAGACAATCCAGGTAACGACAATTAATAAGTTAAGACGTCTCCAGAGGCGGGCATGCTGTGCAATCACCGGCTGCATGAAAACCACTCCCACATCAGCACTGGAGACAATACTTAACGTGAGACCACTCCACTTGTTTATACAACAGGAAGCTGCATGTACAGCCACGCGCCTAAGCATGCTGCGGCATTGGAGAGACAACAACTCCCCGTACACCAGCATCTTGGCAGACATACACAGGCACTTTCCGTACTTTGCAGCAGTAAACGACCTTATTCCTAAGACGTACGTATTTGACAAAAAATACAAAATTCAACTTTATGAAGACACCCCGGACCGTTGTCTGCATAAGGAGTTGAGGGTCTACACAGACGGTTCAAAAACCAACTGTGTACGGGCTCGGGTGTCTTCTCCGAAGACCTGAATATACACATCTCGACAGCTTTGGGTGCCTATAACACAGTCTTCCAGGCAGAGTGTGTGGGCATCATCAGAGCTGCTGAGGCGATAGAATGTCGCGGGGTAAGAGGTAAACACATTCGTATCCTCTCTGACAGCGCTTCTGTCCTACAGGCACTGGACAACAATATAATGACATCAGGCTTAATTTACGAATGCCACAGTAAGTTGACTAATATTGCTAACGACAATAGATTGACCCTACAGTGGATTAAAGGACACAGCGGCTCAAGGGGTAACGATGCGGCGGACTGCTTAGCCAGGGAGGGGTCTAGCAGGACGGCCATTGGTCCGGAGCCAATTATACCCATACCCTATCGGCAGCTGCGAACCTGGATAAGGGAGCGCTCTCAACGACAACACGACGAATACTGGTCAAAACTCACGGACTGCAGGCAAGCCAGGGAAGCCGTTCCTAAGGTAAACCTGCAGCTAACACGTAAGTTAATCAGACTACCTAGACAAGCCCTGAAACAAATCGTGGGTATACTCACGGGTCACGACTACTTTAACAAACACCTTTGTAATATAGGTATTTCTGACAGCCCTCTGTGCAGAGCCTGCCTGGAGGCGGATGAGACGAGCGCCCATGTCCTACTGGAGTGCAGGGGCGTTGCAAGACAAAGGACTTCTCTAATGGGAAGCCCGAAGACAATAGTAGAGGCCTGCAGCAACATTCGGGGACTGCTGAGCTTTCTGGAGGAGCTGGGATGGCAGGACTGATGCCAATCCCCACGCAAAATAGGCACTAGGTGTCGAGTTGCGGAAACAGCCCGCCGTACTACTAAGACTAAGACTTGCTATTTGTATATTTGACAGCAGTATATCCTTTACATGCTCTATAGTTAATAAAAACCTGCTGTCAAATCTCATTTAGAAAGATAAGAAATTGTGAAGCAGTGAAAGAGTTGTCCAAAGGGCACTAAAAACGTAATCTCGCTGTTCAGTGATCAAGGGATTGGATAGTGCTGGAAGTTAATCAACTTTTGTATTGGATCGCTGATCGGAAGAATGATTTTGTGATTCAGAAAACATAAATTTTGACCCATTCTCCCAGAAGAGTAGGTAAAATTTATGCTGAGTATGATATACCTATAGCAATATGTATAATTAATTATAGGTTATTCAACCATTAGTTTCTTACACTTTAGTTACACCAAGCATGTAATGTTTTCAACCATTAGTTTCTTACACTTTAGTTACACCAAGCATGTAACTTTAGTAAAGAGAGGCAATAAGTTACTATACCTTTTAATAAATTATTATTTTTATTATCAAAAATTTAAATAAGCTTTAGCTAAGATTTTAAGAAATATCCCAAGAGCAATAATATTGAATGAATCTCTGCTCTCTGTCTGTCATGAGGCTCTATTTCTTGATCTCTACAAGAGAGAGCCCTGTACAACAAGCTGTGTATGTGTGACTGTATTAGGTATTTTTTACATTAGCATCAGCTAATGTTTCTTTTGCATTGGTAATGACAATATTAAAATAAATGAGAGTGAGTTTTTGAAAACCTTCGGCGGTCAGAAATATCAAAATAAAATCTAAAGCGTTAGTGTTATCCAAAGCATTTCTGTTAGGCGAAGGGCCCCCAGGTACAACTTTGATAGGTTACCTTAACATCATTGTACAGCAAAAACCCAGTAAATCAAAATGAGTTAAAAATACAAATCAATTGTTTTTTGTTTGAAAAAAATCCAACAATGTTTTCATTAATCCATTAATACTACTTACTACACACATTTTTTTTATGTTAAAAGGGTGGCAAACAAGCATATGCCTCGCTTGATGGTAAGCTGCCACCATCCTGGAACCTTAATCAGCGACAGAAACACAACACCAATGCTTTCCTCTCTTTGAAATAATGAAAGCATATTAATATAGTATAGTATTTCATGAAGAATTCAACATGATTGAAATTAAAAATTAATCATTGATATAGTGATTTAAAAAAATATCACTAACAGTTTTGGTTTAACATTACTCACCTCTTTGACAGTCTCCAGTTTATGTTTCTGATCAGGATCTGCATTAGGTCCCAATGCTACAGCTACATATTTGTCAGAGGCACTTCCTTTAGGGCCAGCGGGGGAGGCATCTTTGTCAATTGCGTTATTTACTAAAGCAGGTTCTTCTAAAGCATCAACTGGCGCTTTACTAGGACCCTTTGATGAAGAAACAGATGGTGCAGCATCGAATTGTGGTCTCTCAAGCACTTTCATACCCATGTCCTCCTCTATTTTCGCTCGTAAGCGATTCCTGTCTTCGACGATGTGAGGGTCATCACCTTCTTCGCCATGACGTACGATTCCAACCACAGGGAAATCTCCCACGTCGTTCTGTGCCAACGGAGGTGGCATAAGGAGCTCAGGGCCCGCTTTTTGAATACGTTTGTACACATTGTAAACACTATCGTTAACACTAGTGGAACTTTTGAACTCTGGCAAGTAAAATAGTGCCCCTAACCACACGATTCCGAATGTCAAAAGTACTGAAACAATCAAATATTTTTCTCGTAGACGAAAGGAACGCCGCGATATGGACGGTACTGGAACTCCATTAACAAAACGTTGGTACGTGGGTAATATCCCCGTCATGTTTATGTAAACAGTCCTTACACAAAAAAAAACTAATTTTCTTAACTAATGACAGAATATCAGATAAACAACCCGTCACTGGTAGTAGCCATTAAAGAACTGCCAAACCAACCAAAGTGCCAACTTGAAGTCTTGGGATACCACTACAACTGACATAAAATCTACCAAAATATGATATCACAAAGACCTGGATTAAGACATTATGATACTCTTTATCCCGGAAACAATTTTAGTTCCCACAGGAAACCATTATTCTAAATAAATTAAAGTACACGCGTTAATAGTCGTAGTCGGATGCTAGTATATAATAAATAATATTTATGTGATGTTAGTCTGTCTTGTGTTAATAAATATATAACTTTACTGTTCAATATGTTATAAGTAGTTCTAGTAATGGTACTCATGGCAATATCAGCTCAACTTAACTGGATATTAATTACATATTAGTATTACTTTTAATTTAATTTTGTTTTTTTATAAAATTGTTAAATTCAACAAGGTTTCAATGAAGTACCTTTTTACTTGCAAATAGTGCATAAGCAAGAAAACGAATTAAATTAAAACCATTTTTAATTAACAAGAATAGCTTAAACACCGTGTACCATTATTTTTCTCTTTGTGTGGTGGGTGATCTGTAATTTAAAACTGGATTTAAGTATTTGGATTCTAGGATTTTAATTATTGTACAAATATGTTTAAGTTCGAATCGAACAAGTATTGTTCATATCTAATTTTCATAATTTACCAAATGGTATTTTCAGTCACGAAATCCACATGGCAACACTGTTAAAGCAGTGTCACCGCCATCTATGCACATAATTAAAAACGACATTGCAGAATGGACGATGCTTATCAAAAGCATAATAGGTAAATGCTTTTTCTATGTAATGCGTTGTTATGTGGTAAATTTACAGATGGCCTTAGGTAAGTAGATAAAACTTAGTAGTATGAGCTTGGTACCTACAATTTTTTTTTTAATGAAACTTCTTTACGCGCTTTTGACTTGGGGGGTAAGCTGGCGAATGCGTTACGCGTTACGAAATATGTTCGGGTTCAAAAGTCCCAGTTCCCAGTTCAAAAATATATATAAATTTGGTATCATTGCTTTCTGTGATTAGGATTCTCATCCTTCCACACTTTCGTAATATCGTTATCTTGGGATCACAATTTAAAATTAATCACTATTTTTAATAAGAGAGAGACAGTTGTTTTTTGAACAGTTGTTTTTTGAACAGTTGTAGTGAAAAATACTTTATTTTTATTATTTACTGATAATAATACATCAACAATATCGTAATGTTGATCGAATAATACCTATGTAAATCTGCCCTAATGCCTAATAATTTTTTTTTTTGAAGCGAAAACTTCTTTAGTGGCGTTGTACACTTTTTTTGTATGGGTAAAAAATGTTAAACTCGCGTCAGGTTAAACACGTGGGCTGATCGCATCATGACACACAGTAAAATTGGAAAGGTTGTTGACTTTCAATATATTGGACGAAACATTGTAATATGATTTTATTTATTTTTTTTAAGCACTTTTCTTTAACATGGTAATATTTTATTTTACCGTATTATAATAATAAGTCTCTGTCTAGGACGTCCACGTGGCAGCTTTACTGCGAAGAAAATGCATTTTTTTACAATAGATGTCGCTAAGTGCACTTAAACGTTAAGTCTCATGTAAGTTTAGTTTTCAGAGAGATAAACTTTTTTAATGTAATATAAATTGTCATGTTTGTGTACGATAACGCAATAAATAAATATTGTATTCTACCACATACATGATAGTACTTTTATACTGATAATTAAAGCAATTCGTGCAAAATTATTCCCTAACCATTCGAAAATATCAAAAATGCACAACGTTATTATTCAAGTTTTCACATCTGCCGGCTCTTCCGGAGTGCAACCCGTCGTTTCTTTTTAATACTTTGATGTTACAGCGGTATCAAATAACTGACCAAGGTTTTGTTTATAAATCTTGTACATGCGTAGTACTTATTTCAGATACCTTTTGGATCGGGGGTATATTTTAACACCATAGACAAATGATTGGTCTCGCTGCGGTGACCGAAGGGAGACGAATCATTAATCTAAGTTTAACACAATAAAAAATCTTTTGTTTTGTTTAAATGTATTTTTAATCTTAATAGATAGATACAATTTCCTCATTACATCATAATATTTTATATAGAATTTTTTAACATACAAAACCACGAGTTACACCATTTTGTGCAGCTCACATGCTCATTTTCAAATCCTCACTTGAGATCAGTCAATTTTATATTTAAAAACTAATCATTTACATTCATATCGGGCTAAATTTTAAAGTTATATTACTTAATATCTTTACATTTTTTCGTTGATTCATTATCTAAAAACACTATGTTCATTTTGTACATTATGAGAACACTAATAGCTACGAGTGGGGTTTAAACCTTGACATATAGAAGTCACAGTCTGGGCAGTACAACGCTGGAGAATTGACTTGTTTCTTTCGACATAAATTACATGGCGCTTTCTGACCTGCCAAGCTCATATTGGTCTGATGGTCAATGGGATATGGATTGTTAGCCATTTGTGGTGGCACAGGGGAGTCAGTGCCGCCTTTCGTGCCGGGCTCGAAAGAAACAGACTTTTTCTGCATCTGCTTCGGTGGTGGTATGTGTTGGTAAGGATTGTAACCGTTTTGATTGAACTGAAACTGGGCTAAAGTGTCGTTGTTTACTGGGCTCTCCGCATTTTGATTGTACATTGGTCTCTGTTGCTGCGAATTAGCATAGTGGCGAATTTCGGGTACGCGTGTTTGATTAGAATTGTTATCGTGGTAATAGTTGTTGGGCACTTTTTGATATGTTGCATTAGTGGAGTAGTTATCTTGAGACACTTCACCGTGTGGCGGAGGTACCCTCTGGTACGGTGATGGTGCAGCACCATAGTGGTTCGTGTTGGTCGCCGGGTAACGACTAGAGTACTCGGAGCTAGCGTAGCTTGTCGGTGGGTTGTGGTAGCTCGAATAAGCCGGCGAATTGGTGGGCACACTTTGGTACGGCGATGAGTTGCTAGGCAGACTCTGGTTATACTGTCGGTTTGCATTGTAGTTTGCGTTAGGAGGAGTTGCGGTGGTCGTATGCTGAGGTAGTCGGTGATAGTAAGCGTTATTCTGAGGCTGGTTGATTGGGTGCAGCTGGCTCGGTGGATGCGGGTATGTGTTAGGCACAGGTCGTTGAAGATTATTGTGTTTGGTCATGTAAGGATGATTGTGTGCCGTCGGTGTAAGTCGGTTAGCAGGGTTTTGACTGAAGTTCGGTGGGCTAGCGCTGTGGTTTTGAAAAACTGGCGGCGGCTGAGTGTATGGAATTGGGTTTGTCGTATTTGGTAACGAATTATTTGGAAGTGATTGATATATTTGACTATTGGTAGAGTTATTTTGATTATGGGTCTGCTGGACGGGACCGCTAGTACCGTAAACCCCAGAACTCTTTTGTGCATTATATTGTTGTTGTTGTGGTCGAACCGGGGCACTTTGATATGTTGGGTAAGTATTTTGTAATCGCACATAATCGGATTGACTGCTTTCGTTAGGGACGAAGGAATTCTGGGAGAGCGATGATATTGTTGATCGTGACGACTGGCTGTCGAACGATTCTGTTCTCTGCAATGAAGGTTTTTCTGACTGAAGTGGCATCGTAGTTAGCTCTGGTTTACTCATAGCAGATTTCAATACTCTTTCTAGAATAGGATTAGGTATGTAACTATCATCCTCTTGATCTTCAGCGGTAGATACTAAAATCACTTGATCACAGAAGGAAACAGACTTCTTTTTCTGTTTAGATCTATCGTTATAGGAGTTGTTGTTGTTAATTTTCTGGTCACTATAATCATCTTCTATTTGCTTGGGATCTATCGAAGATGAAGATGCTCTCCTATTATACAAACCAGAGTTAGACTGGTTGGAACAATTGATCACGTCTCTATTACCGCTCATGCCTACGAATCCAATATGAGTTCTTTCTACATCAGAAGCGAGTTGTTGAGTACTATTTTCAAATCTAGATGCCAAGCTTCTGACAGTATTTATGTTATCCGTATGGCTAGATAGCTGTCCTTCGATAGATCCAGATCGTTTTAATTTGAGTGCAGCTTGTTTAGCCTGTAATTCTTTTAGCCATGTATCTCCTGTTGTATTAATATTTTCTAATTGATTAAACTTTGAAAGACATTCTTCATTTCTGAGAATTTGATTCCTTTTCTCTTGCAATTGTGCTAATAATGACCCTTTAGGAGCATTGATTTCATTATTGTTAACTATATCAATATCTCTACTATTATTTTGTAAATTACTAAGCTCTTCCTGAAGAGGAGTCAAGTCAAGAGGCGGCGGTGGAGGAGGAAACTCTTCACTGGGTTGTCTCGAGTGGTTGACAGAGTTCATAGGGCTAGGATATGGTGGCAGTTCAAATAATTGCGGAGATCTTCTAGAAGGCATCGCACAGTCGACGACGTCAACTCCGTTATCGAAGGCGCTGCTTAAATTTTGAATATTATTGTGAGAGGGTTGAATTGAAGGCATAATCTCTCGTTTCACTGGACTCTGTTCCTGGTGAATCATAGCTTTTGTTACAACAGTGTGAAAGTTTTGTGGCGGCGAATCATCTAGTGTGTTAAATTGATTCACAGGCTTTCCATCATAAGAGGGTAAGAACGGCAACGATTGTGGCTCTTCGCCATACTGCTCGGAAAATCCACCGTCTTCTTCAACGTCTTGTGAGTATGAGTATTCTGTGTGATTTGTGTGAGGCAAAGGCTGTTGTGGACGGGACTGTATATCATGATCGATCACTTCTGAATCAAACTTAGACCCGCTAAGCTGGGAAGTGGTTCTCTGTGGCAGCGGTGGTGGCACCTTACGGATCTTTACAGCGCTTCCGTGGAAGCTCTTTCTCATTAACTTACTCCTCTCAAGATTGGGATTTGTACCGCTAGCTGCAGAATATTCTAGATGACCTTCTGATAAATAGCCACTTAAATTAGATTTATCGTCACCCTTTCGCCTCCCTACATCACCGTCGTCCACGGATGAAACTCGTTTCTCAGCATTAATGTTCTCATTGTTTCCATCGGCTCCTTCTGTTAAATCTGGCATAGATCGGTTTTTTCTTCGAATCAAACCTCCCATCAATAGCTTTCTACGTATTTTGTGTTGCTTTTTATTCGCTTTCTTATCTTCAACAACTTCTTCTTTTTTTTCTGCAGCAATCGGGGCTTCTTTCCTGGCTCTACCACGATCTTCACTTCTGGATCGTTTTTCTCTACCTTTTTCTTCATCTCGAGATTTATGTCTGGGTGGACGTTCACGTGGTGGATTGTCAATATCATCTTCGATACATTTAGGAGATTTTTTAGATGAACCCTTCTTCTTAGGCAACGTTGCATAAATCTCGATAGTAGACGGTGCAGTTTCGAGACCACCTTTTGTGTTTCTCACGGGTACCGTTTGTTGAGATTCCGATATACGTGATGCACCTGCTAATCGCCTTTGAAGACTCCTAGCACGCATTATGCAAGTATTGTGCTTCATTCGAGCAAAAGTCATAGTGTGAGCGTTATTAAATGAAGCATCCATGGCAGCACTAGCTTTGGATGCCGCAGCATCACATAAAATCAAAGCCTTTTCAAAATCTGCAACATTCTCAGCTTGTCGAGACTTATCTAATAGCCTATCAGCTTCTGCACATAAAGCTTTACAAGTGTCTGCAGTTTTTAACTCCGGTATTTGCATCATGGGAGGGTTATGCCGAAGAACTTGTTGAAATGGCAGACTGTCTGTTGACGATAACGAGTATGAGTCATAACCAGCATCACAAGATCCACCACTGGATAGTTCACCCTTACGCGTGGGGCTTCCGGGTACGCTTCCAGGTCCTCGGCCCTTAGTGTACATATAGGGGCTTTCAAAAGTGGATGAAGACGCTGATGATGCACTGTTGCGATCACCACTCCAGTTGCCAGAGTCCCGTCGCACGCGCGGTCTGTCTTGCGAATCCGAAGCTGAACCCGTACTGAGACTCCGGCCTAATTGAGCGCGCCGATTAGCCTCCCACATATTTTCGACCGTCTTCCTACTAACGTAGTCATTTTCGTTGTCGGGCCCCGGAGTAACAGCGCGCCGCGCAAAACTTGAGTTCGGTCGTTCAGGTGCCGGCGTGATGGCTCGTCGAGGCTCCGGGGCAGGAAAGGGAACTATTTCCTTTGGAGCATAACGAGTATCACAAGGAGTACCATCTACTGCTGCATACAATAATAAGAGAGGCTGGAATCGTCCCCGGCGGCATTTGTCGACTACATGTCCCCATTCAGGGCCGATTTCTTTTACGTCAGCATCGTCGAAGTATATCCATAGCCGGAGTTTGCTATGGAAAAAGAAGGTGGAGTAATGTTTGCCATAGTACGTGACGAGCCCGACGAGGCGAAGCGTGGCACGTGCCGCCCAGCCGCGGTCCACGCACTCGTGGAAGGCGTCGGTGGGTAGCAGCTCTGTACCGAGGGCAGCGTATACTGCGGCTACGTCCTCTGCTGCAGGCCGCTCTGAATCCCAAACCATGCCGATGGATATTACTTCAGGACGATTCATAAGCGTTCGGCAAATTTGTATTTTGGCCCCACATGCATTCTGTAAAAGAAATATTAAAGTAATTAGTTGCAATCTTGCTAAAGGGACCTAACGACTGGTCAATTAAAATTTATATTGATATTTAGTATGAACAGAATAGCTAAGATGATTTATACGTACTGGGCAATCTCTGATGTCGCCCATTCCACCAGCCTTCTTAAGCAACAGCCCGAAGCTGTCGCCGTGCTCTCCCAGCGCTGCTTGCGTTGTTAAAGCTGTTGCTGAGACGTAATGCACCATCTGTAAGTAAGTAATCACAAAATACTATAAGATTGGAAGTAAGTTAACAGAGTAAACAATTATGTGAAATAGAATGTATTTCAGAAACACACGATATGGCTCGCCTGATGGTAAACGGCCATGCATTAGTAACCTTTAAGACACTTGCACTTTAACCCTATCCTTTATTCTTAGTTCTGGAAATCCAGAAGACTTTAGTCTTATATAAGATGGAAGTTTCTTCTCCAGTTAACTCTTCAATTAAAGCAGAAAAATGGTTAATCAAATATGCGGAATACGAAACATTCCGGAAGGTGTATTAGACTAAGTATGTAAAGACGTAAAAAGTGTGGATGTCTAACAAAATGTAAATAGTTTAATTTACCTGAGTATATGGGAGGGGCTCGGAGGTGGCCTGGCAGGCGCCACAAACTGACTGTTCCACAAGCATCATGGCGAATTTCCTATGCGGTACGCAATGGGGCGCTCTGCAGGCATCGTCTTCTCTTCTGTCTCCGCCAGCGGCAACATGGGCGTGGACTCGCAGGAGGAGGTGCTCGAAGCATTCGCTGGCATCGGCCATACAGCCCAGCTGGAACCTCGCGCCTACGCCACCCAGCGCACGTCGTAAGCTGTCCGCAGCTGGGGCGCGCTCCGCTGACCATTGCAGCTGCGTAAACAGCTCCTGGAGACGAAAGAACAACACGTTTAGAATAAACCTTAGTGAGAGCATACTAGTCTTATCTCTATATATAAAAATGAATCCCTGTTTTTCTTGGCCACGCCATAACTTGAAAACGACTTTAGCGATTTCATCCATCCGGCAAGTTGAGGTTGGCACAGCTTCAAATGCATCTCTATCTTCGCGATTTACACTCAACATCAAGTCGGATGAGGTAATTTGTTGAGCCTCGTATAAAAAACTGTTATTTTTTAAGTTTTCTTTTATTCTGTACTAGGTTGTTTTGAAAAAAAAAAGAAATTACGCAGAAATTTTGAAACTAAGAAAACTTGTGTTTTTTATTCTATGCATTCAGCAAGAGACATGCGAATGCAAAAAGCTTAATTCAATAACCGTTGAAGAATATTTTGAATAAAAAAATATTAGGTCAAACTATAATGATTCTAGTGATCTACATGATACACACTAGGTATATTTTCCTTTTAGATAGAATATAAGAATCAGCTATTGATACACACAGCCGATTGTATCAACATTTACGCCTCCGTTCTAAGAGATTTTGTAAATCCAATCCTATGTTGTGGATTCAAGCGCCCAGTTACAATACCACAACGAAAGTTCTGACCGGTTTGTCTATTATGCGATTTTAAATACAAGCCACTAAGTTAGAATATGATTCGTTCACGGAGATTGTGAGTAGAGAACTAGATAGTATGGCACGTATAGGTCAGAAGCACATCGTGAGCGTGACCTACGGATCTCTCGTAAGTTCTACTCTGACGTGCGTTGCTTTTTTTGTAACTTTCGTAATAGCTTCTAGTAAATAGTTGCCAGTGTTGATATCCCAGCGTGTTTTTGCAACTGAACTTTGACCTCGAACGTCCTTCTGGCGTTTTTGAAGACAGTTATGAACTGAAAAACCTCATAATAGTGGTATATTTGACGCGAGATAGCTACTGTTAGCCAATAATATCATAATTTATATGTTTTGTTCCCTGAGAAAAATATGAAATTGAAATACAAGTAACTCGTATCTGAAGAGATGCTGCGGATAATGATCAAAGTAACCATAAAAAGAACATAATTTGGGCATCTAAGCCTCATTGCATATTTCGAATTCCTGGAATAGATAGGTATATAGGCTACCACTGTATAAAATAAGAAACAGCAAAAAGTTGAAAGTCATTACACAATTCCTTCTTTACAAGCATAAAATTGTTTTCTTTCTTCAGCTACCACACAATTGGTTTTATTAATACAACAAAGACACACTGTCAAGCGGCTTGCGCATCTGCTACACTTCAATTAAATCACACTAATTAATGTTCCACTATCATGCGAAACTAACTCTCACAATTTCTACAAAGACAATGTTTTGATTTATAGTTTAATAGGAAAGCTAAAAAACACGGTATGTCATCAGCATCAGTGTGAAGAAAATGAAAGGCAAAATTAACGGTACCTCCTAGCTAAAATATGTTTGACAATAAACTGTTATTAAGTTAATTCAGTGTTAATTGTTCTTTTGCGGTAACTAACTTTATTAAGAATAAGTAATTAAAAAAGTTTGCACGGCCAATTAACCATTACTTACTTAGTTTAGAGTTAGGAAAAAATTGCAATATTTGCAACTCTTTTAATAAGTGTTGAAAAGAAATGTACACTCACACATTATGCTTTTTAGAGATTTCTCCTAATATTTGTAGAACGTTACTCGGAACCACAGACAATATGGTCTACCTGCCTGTGTACGAAATGAATGCATCAAACATAATGTGATGTTTGTAGCACAGGCTAGGCACGGTGTGAACCCGGCAGGTATTGTTGCGTGTGAATAGCGCACTCGATCGAAGCCGCAGGCGCCATCTGAGAACTTGCTTGCTTCTTACCATTTATGATTACCTGGTACTTGCTACCCGATTTTCATGGTAACTGTAACTAAATATATGTAGTTTATAAATAAAAAAAAATGTTCTTTTCGGGAACAGGGTTTACCATTTTATTATCAAACAAAAGATAAGATATTTTTAAGATGTAAAATACATGTTGCTCTATATGAGTATCCAAGGTAAGAGTCATTGTCCACATTACTAATGAGATTTAGTAGTTACCAACATAGTTTAGGAACTCAATTTCCTTGTCGTCGTCGTGCGTGCGTTCGGAGGAAATGTGCGCATCCTGTACATTCAAGTTTAGTAGAAAACCTATCACGATAAGCCAATTATGATAATATATGAACGGGGCGAGATATTCAGTATATATATTTATATATCCACAAAGCTAATGATCACGATCTTGAGAGTTGACGATCACAAAAAGAAAATGGTCTGTATTTTAGAAATCAGAGCTCTTCTGTAAGAGTATTTTTAAATGCGCTTATTATAATTATAACTTTATAATAAAGGCAGAATACAACTTATAATAGCATTAAAACATTACCATGTTATGTGAGAAAAATAAATAAAACGTAATTACAGGCTCAACTAAAGATTGACAGGTAGACAGAGGTAGAGGTGTAGTTTTGTAAGAAATACTTATTAATATCCTAATGTATTATATACAACGGACATACAGAGACGTCAATAATGTAAATATTCGATAATAATATAAATAAAAAAGGTCGTATAATAAATAGTATGATTCACGTTCTTAACTAAAATATTAGATTTTACCATCTATACAATTTCCTATATACCTAAACAGAATAACACAGTCACTGGTAGGCAATTTTTGGAGACGTCTTTATATTTCCGAATGAAATATGTATACAGTGTTTCTTGTAAATTAACAGCTGTACCGCGCTTGAAATTTAGTACCTACTGATACAGCTTAATTAGAAGTAAAGATAGCTAATGCAGCAGTTTTGCCTGATATGACTTTGACACAGGGATGTATGAAAGAACCATCTTGCCATGCCAAAGAACCATGTAACCCTCCCAAAGAACCATGAGCATAGTCATGTGCGCATGTACTAACCATTTCATTTGCTGATAGTTGCGATAAACAAGGGAAGAAAAAATATGCAACTAAATTAAACAAAATTTAAACAACTTCAACTCAGCCATGTCGTGTTGTTAAAGTGTAAAGTGGTATTTACATTAATAATTCATTTACAGGATGTAGCATGTAGCTATGTATGTAACTACGTTATATAGCTGGTATTCAACAAGTTAAAATATGAATAGAATATAAATATTTTATAGACAATCGGTCACGAAATGTCCTTTGGTAGATATTACCAATGGAAGGAATAGTGAATTCAAATCGCGTGCTAGTCCGGAGGAGTGCGTCGGCGCACGCATACGTAAGTGGTTTTTGTTAAAATATTCTCGACAATTGCCTTAAGGAGGTTCGGCACAATAGCTCGAATTGAGTTTAGGGGCCAACGGCAGGCCACGCATCACAAACGCTTAAACGGCTTTTAACCGTAACAGAGCTATCAGATCATTCTTGTTTTAGATTAGGCTGCTACTTTAATTTGGGCATTTTATTTCAAATCCTAGCCCCAAGTACCGATAAAACTTCTATAATATTCAGTTAAGTTTGCTTGCTTATTATTTTTATATTCATTTATTTAATTATTTCATGGAAAATGGAAATATTAATATGCATATTTTTTTCTCTCCTGCTTACACATACTAACCAACATATATTACTTATTCGGTTAAGTCATGATTACTAAAAAGTTTAGTAACTGACAGTCTATAAATAAAAAGAAACAATATTTAAAAAGAAAACCTACATAAGGCACTAAAGTTTGTTAGAACTAGAATATCAAATTGTTGTTAAAATTAGACAGTCAATTACGAGTGAAATCTCAGCTTGAATACTAAAATATACCAATAATAATTAATGAAACCTTAATCGATGTGTAATTAAAACTAATCGTGCCCCTAGACTCGTGACTGCTGTAATATACATTGCTGTTTCATTACCAAGTCCTTTATTACTTAAAACGTGGGTGTTTGCAGATCACTTGAATGCTGAATATTCAATTAAATCAAGTTAAATATTTTAATGACGGTGTTTGTAGTTAGTACAGCCAAGGTTTCACGGATGAATACAATTTGATATTGACAACACTTTTCTTAGGAGCAACATCGATACTTGTATTGCAAGTTTACCCACAGGTTTGCTCTCGACATTTCAAGCAACTTAAAAGCCAAGGACCAAGAACTAATGTGTTTGTAACTAAGTTGTTAATGATCTTGTTTGTGTATGAGACTAGAAACCATCTGCGAACCTGATTCTGGTAGTATAACGTTTTTTTTATATAAATATGTATATAATTATAAATAATAAAAAGGAATTTATTTTAAATCGTAAAATATAAAAAGTGCAAAATTACTTAAGTTTAAAATTTAATATTTTTTTTATAGCTACATTAATATTATAGCTACATATAATGACGAAGCTGGTTCATAAGTTCTAAGTAGTTGTGATATCTAAATATATACAGGAAAATTTTCCGTGTATTGAGTATCTTTGATATATTCTGTCGTTGATGTCTTTTACTACGCGATTGAGAGTCGTCCATCAATATTACACACATGTAATTGTTTACTTACTAAACTATTATTGTTAAATGAGCTTTTTCATCAAAATATAAGTATAATGATTATTGCAAAGGCAACTTTAAAACTCAATTAATCAGAATCCGTCTAGGATTCGGATTAAAAAACTTTGTCAGTTTTTGCTGTATTTGTGCCATAATTTGCAATAAAGTATAATATTTTTTTTAAATATCTAACATATCACATAAAACAGTTCAACAGAACAGTTAATAAACTTCTATGATCAAGACCGCACAACTTACTCGAAACAATGACAGCGTCGCCTGGCTCAGGAAAGGAAGTTCCGGCTCCCTTCTTGCAGATGCAGGTGGTCGGGATCTTGGCAGAGTGTTGTGCCTCACTCCAGCTAGAGAACCATTCAACAGCATATCCTTCGGAGGCAGCAGCTCCCGGTCTTTGAGACCATCAATCTTCTGCTTCTGAATGGCG